TCGAAGGATTCGATTCACATGCATCATGCATGTTCAGCGGGGCTACGTTTATGGAGTATTTCATCAAGTAAAGAAATTAGGAATGTAACAGGGATGAATTAAGTGGTTGTATATTGTGTACGGAAATTAATAACTTATCATCATCATCTTATATCAGGATATAGTGGTCTCGCAGACGACGACTTCTTTATGCATTTGAGTTGCAATTCGTTGTCAGTTCAGCTGCCTCTTGTCTTTCTGTTTCAGTGAGTGAGTGATTGAGTTTAGTTTTACGCCTCACTCAGCAATATTCCAGCTATGTGGCGGCGGTCTGTAAATAATTGGGTCTGGACCAGACAATCCAGTGATCAACATCATGAGCATCGATCTGCGCGATTGGGAACCAGACAGACAGAGTTTATTTTGTAATGTCGGCCTAATACAGTCACATAATATAAAGTACAGATGGACAGTGGTCATTCTCATTAACTACATTGTAGCTTTATTCCTGCAAGAGAGTATTTGGTGTATAAATAAAGCAGTAATGTATATAATACGTGGATGTTTAGAGCATATAATATTAGGGAGTGAGAGTGGGCCCTTATATACATTTCTAAGTTGGATGAGATATTTTTCGCGGAAGTGTTGGTACTGTTTACAAGAAAAGAAAATATGTTTTTCGTCTTCAATCTGTTGGGAATTGCAGAATGTACAGTAGAGCTCTTCAATAGGCACATCCTTATGACAAAAGATGTTGGCTTTAAAATGGTTGTGGGCAATCCGAAATTTGCAGAGAGCACGTATGAGGTCTTTACTTTTTAGTTCTGTGATGTACGGTTCCAGTTGGAGATCGTATTTCAACTGTGAGTATTGGTTTAGATGTTTTGATGTATTGATATCGTTGCGCCAGCTTTGGTGTCCTATATCTGTAAGTCGTTGTTGGAAGACAGACATGAATAACTTTACATTTTCAACTCCTTGGTTGAACCATACGTGTGAAAAGCCGGTTCGGAAAAGAATGGTTCTTACATTTGACACCCAGTTGTTCTTGCCCATATCGTCGAAAGATTTAAGCATCTTATATGATTGTAAAGGGTAACGATTATTCTCCATATGCAGTAATTTGAACCAGAATTTTATTACTTTGGCCTGTGTGAGCACGAACGTAGGAAGACGTCCTAGTTCACCAAGGATGGCCTTGTTTGACGCACATTTTCCAAGTTTTAAGAACCTTTTGAAATACGTTGTTTGGATCCGTTCAATGACCTCTGTGTATCTGAAGCCCCATATTTCCGATCCGTACAGAAGTATCGGTACTATTTTCCTATCAAATATGGTTGAAGCGGTGGCATAAGTCAATTCTTTATTTTTATTAAATAGTCTGAACACAGACAGACCAGCTTTGTTCGCTTGTTGTGCAAGAGTTTCACATTCTTTTGTCCAAATAAGTCTTGAAGAAAACACTATCCCGAGGTATTTATAATATGTTACAACTTTTATTGGTAGTTTGCGATACGTCCATTTTTCAAACTGGGTGAGGATTCCTCCGTTGCGAAACACAATTAGATTTATTCAGATTCACTTCCAGTCCCCATTTGGCACAGAATTGTTCTAGGACATTAAATTGACGTTGAAGAGCAATGACGCTGTTTGAGAATAGAACGATGTCGTCAGCAAACATAAGGAGGAGAAGATCCTGTATTTCTAGAGTGACGAATATCCCATGATTACATGACTTATATAATGCAGTTGCAAGTTCATTGATGAACAGGATAAATAGTACCGGACTAAGGATACATCCTTGTCTAACCCCACGCGAAGTATCAAATGCTTCTGATCTCTGGTTGTCCACTCTAACACATGCTTGCACTGACGTATACATACTCTTCAGTAGCACAAGTAACTTTCCGTGGCATCCACTTTTAACTAATGTATACAATAATTTATTCCTATCCACATAGTCGAAGGCCTTTGTGAAGTCAATAAATCCACAGTAGAATCGCCCTTTCGTTCTATTTAGATACTTAGAGCACAGTTTCTGTAACGTGAAGATATGGTCTATCGTGGAATATGGTTAACGGAATCCAGCTTGGCTTTCAGAGAGTAAATTGTTGAAATCAATCCGTAATCTAAGTCGTTTTTCAATTATTGTTGTAAAAATCTTCCCCATAACATTCAATAATGATATGCCTCTGTAATTGGTAGGCTCCTTCTTGTCACCCGATTTGTAGAGTGCTAAGATTATTCCAATATTCCATTGTTTCGGGAACATACCTTTATCCAATATTTGGTTAAATAGCAGCTTTAGATACGGAGCTAGGAAACATGATGATAATTTGAAGAGTTCTGACGTAAGCCCATCAATGCCTGGAGCCTTTCCACTTTTGAGGTCCAATATTGCCGTTGTAATTTCAGCCTCAGTTATTTCAGTGTTAAGGTAAGCGTCACTATTTGCACAACCTGCACAGTCATTACATGTGTGGTTTTCCAAGAATTCCTTGACACTGGGGACCGATGACATGTGTCAACCAAGTCAGCGAGCCTGACCACCCGATCCCGTTAGTCGCCTCTTACGACAAGCATGGGTTAGTGAAGATACATTCTAACCCAGATCTTCACGGGTCTTTTTGTATTTTTATGTACAGTTCTGTGTCACAGTTTGGTCAGAATCAAAGGTTAGTTATTATACATTTTAATTGTTACACACATAGTAAATTAAACCCTAACATTAATCATTACACAAAATAGGTATAAATATGCCCATGATAAACAAAATAAAGTCAATACACAGTATACCATTTAACTTGTATGAATGTGCTTATGGTTTGTGTATGGTATATGATTGTTGATAGGCACATTTATGCACTATATTTATTATGATGACATGTTCATCAGATGTGATTTTATGTTGTGTAGATCGTGTATATTATTGTTTTTACAGGGTGTTTTCTTCCACCACGATATGGAAATAACAGATATCTCACTCATAACCCGTAGTCTATGGCTTATAACACACTGGAACTCCGCTATATCATGACTGCCAGAGGAACACAGCTATTAGAGATACAAATGTATTTATATTTCTTGGAACTCGAAGACAAAAGAATAGTTTAAAGCAGGATGTTTTGTAGTCAGGCGGGAGCGGAAGAAGATCTATTGAAGTAGCGAATATGGTGTTCTCGCGATCTCGCATTCTCGCACTTTTAGCACTTTTAGCTTGTTTCCAAAGGTCGAGATCGCGAGAATGCAAGATCGCGAGAAAGTCCCTTACAGTATTCCATATTAACGGGTTCGCCTATAAATGATGATTTATGGAATCTGTTATCTTGTTTTGCCAAACTCGTATCGGTCTTTGTATCGACTAGGGGTGTACGTATAATTAGGAGCTAAACATTCTGTGTTGGAAAATCAGAAGTATATAACGAAATTAGAATAGCTCTAAATTTCGCGTTCAAATTTAGGGCTATTATAATTTCGTAATATATACCTCTGATTTTCCAACACAGTACGTTTATCTGCATTCTACAATAACCGCGTTATTAAGAATTTTTTTTTAAAAACACACAGTGTTGGATAATCAGAGGTATGTAACGTGATTACCTCTGAATGACTTTAATTAACTAATCACAATCACATATTTACTGAAGTCATGATAGAATTAAAATTGCAGTTGAAATATCAGCTGGATACAAAGCGACAAAAACATTTGCATAATCACAAGAGATCTCTACGAAAAGCAGAATCATTTTCCGATTCCGATTGAAATAGTGGTGACACCAGGTGTTCGCGAACCACCTCCCAGCAGGAACCGTCCCAGGCACATTCAAAAGCAGGTCAATAGTTTTCCTCAAACATAGGAAGACCCCCCCTCCATATTTCTACCACAAGTCTTTCTATAAGCTTTGCCCACATGGGTACAATCCTTGAAGCCCATTTCTTCTTCCCCCACTCTAATATTGCTAACTCACTGAAACTAATCTGACACACTATAAGCTTTGCTGAGGTCTTTACTTACACTTCAGGGTGTGGCGCGTATGAGATGAATAACGGCCCGCTGGGGACCTAACTTTGTCGTGTCTGTGACAAGATATTTGTTTACACATAAGAAACCGTGACAGGAGAGCGATGGAGAGGGTGTCACGTGTTTACAAAAAGTTCTGAGGGTCTGAGAAAATACACCCGCCGATTACCTGTTGCTGTGGCGTCGATAATTACCGACGTGTATGATACGGTTCTATCTCATTATGACTACGACCCAGTATGACTATTTCCGACCTTCACTACAGTAGTAGAAATACACATCCTTTTTACGTCCTATACAGGTAGGTACCCTAGGCCCGAATGGACTCGTCCAACTATTTGGCTTATATTATTAATGAGTTACACTGAGTAGCCATAATACAGGTAGCTGCAAATACATTCCTTAATACAGTGGTCTAAGTGATATTTTAGCAGTATGGAAAACTATGTATAGTAGGTTAAAACACTGACGTTGAATGAGTTGCTCATCAATGTAATGCGACTCATGCTATGTTTAGTGTACATGTGACAGTGCAATAATACAAATCAGTAATCATGTAATGTACAGATTATTTATATCAGATACGTTAATACATTCACACACACACACACACACACACACACACACACACACATCGTACTAAGTGCTATGGTAATACTGAAACTATACTGTGTATGTTTTCCTACTGTTTTATTTTACATCTTGTTTTTGAAAGAAGATAATAAGTAGGCAGAAGAAAATATACGTTCATTTTCCTTGTATGTTCAACACGCAATGCAAAAGTGTCACAGGGAAGGGGTGACAGCTGGTAATTAGAAATCACTCAACCATTCTATTTGTGCATTGGAGAATAATGGGAAGACATCTATCACAGCTTTGACCCTCACTGAGCTAGCCTAACCAGAATGCTGTAAAATAGACTAACATTTGAGAACTGACACCGGAAGACCGCAACATATACCCGCAGAGACCCGGTTGACAAAGCGAGAACATACAGCCCTTCACGGTGTGCAATGGTTGTTGTAGCCAGAGGTATATTAAACAAGCCAGAAAAGAGTTATCTGTGGGTGTTGTCCAACTATCTGTAGGGACGTTCGGGGATTGCACAGGAAAGGGTATGTTTAGTAAACCTTTATAATGACCAGTCGTTATTTTAACTGGCTTTGAAGAATTTCAGAACACAAATCGAAACAATTATATTGCTGGGAGTGTCACGGTGACAGGTCATACTTGTTATCACATCTGCTCACGTGACCAGTGTGGGAGACGACGGTGTTTGCGGGTGCGCCACGTACAGCTTGGGAATAAGCGGACTAACCACACGGAACTGTGTTCACAGGTGAGAGTATTGAATATGTTTTAACAGTCCAGGTAGCATTACTTTGTACCTGTAATGCTTGGTAAATACAAAGAAAGAAATGTTCATTTTCATTTGGAACATATCACTTCAGGGGAACTATATCATGGTTGCAACCATTACACCATGGGCGTTAAGGAAACAGTGTACTGAAGCAAGTATATGTATCATGTTACCGCCACAGTTACAGATATTTGCAACAGAGCAATAACCAAGTGACTATGTACACGTGTTACAAAGTAGAGTCTTGTCAAATGTTTTCTAGCGGGTTCAGTGACCGAAAATCATTTGCATATTCAACACGGATGTCAATGCAGTTGGACTAGTATTACCTGTATTACCTGGTGTAGGTTTCAAACGAATTTAATAACCCAAAGGTAAAATGGCAGACTGATATCTTGATAAAACATGGCTCTTGTTTCAATGGTTGTAATCAAAGGGTGGATTTGTTAGTGCAGGGACCTTGGACATCATACAATGCCGTCCGGTAATTCCGCGCACCTAAGCACATCGATCGCAACACGGCAACTAACGTCTCTTATTTTTTGTGGTTTACGTGACTAAACATGCAGGTATGCATCATATTTACCTAGAAATATAAGTTTTATTGACGACTATAAGATTCTAACGTTGCATTATGCCATACTGTTGACTTTACCGGCGTTCTGACGACATCGCTTGCTGTCTGGTAATTCTGCGCAGCAAGTGATGCGCATAACATCAAGATGGCGATCCGAAGTATGGAAGCGTTTTAGGGCCAGATTTTTTTAAAAGATCACTTCATCAATGTAAGGAAGAGTGTTTCATTTTAAATCCGATTATGAATAATGAAGAAAAAGGTTTAAAAGTCCGATGAAAACGTCAATTTATCTGTCAGTAACTGTTATTTACTTATCTTTAGTGATTAAAAGCCAGTCCCTTGTAGAAATGTCCCGATTTCAAGCGTAAATGTGGTAGCAGGCGATGTTTACCTTCGATACGGAAGTACGCTATTGCAGCTGCGCAGAATTACCGGACGCGCTTGTACATGTATTGACTATTTCGATAAATATTCTGATATGACTATGTGTTTAGATTGTTTAGATGAATATCTATGATCTAACTACATATATTGACTATTTCGATCAATAATAATAATTACATGTATTGGTTACTCAGAACAATATTCATTATATAACTACATGTATTGACTATTCAGATCAATGTTCATTATGAAATTACGGGTATTGACTATTTAGAACAATATTCATGATAGCGAAAAAAATAGTCCTTATCTGACTACATGTATTGACTATTTTGATACATATTCCTTATATGGCTACATGTATTGACCATTAGATAAATATTCATGATATGACTACATTTATTGACTATATAGATCAATATTCATGATATGACTACATGTATTAACTATTTACATAAATATTTATTATATGGCTACATGTATTGACTGTTTAGATTAATATCCATGATATGACTACATGTATTTACTGTTTAGATTAATATTCATGATATGACTACATATATTGACTATTTAGATCAATATTCATGATATGACTACATGTATTGACTATTTAGATCAATATTCCTGACATGAAAAAATATATTGACTGTTTAGATAAATATTCCTTATATGACTACATGTGTTGACTATTTAGATCAATATTCATGATAGCGAAAAAAATAGTCCTTATCTGACTACATGTATTGACTATTATGATACATATTCCTTATATGGCTACATGTATTGACTATTTAGATAAATATTCATGATATGACTACATGTATTGACTATTTAGATAAATATTCCTTATATGACTACATGTATTGACTATTTACATAAATATTCATGATATGACTACATGTATTGACTATTTAGATCAATATTTATGATATGACTACATGTATTGACTATATAGATCAATATTCATGATATGACTACATGTATAAACTATTTACATAAATATTTATTATATGGCTACATGCATTGACTGTTTAGATAAATATTCATGATATGACTACATATATTGACTATTTAGATCAATATTCATGATATGACTACATGTATTGACTATTTAGATCAATATTCAGATGACATGAAAAATTCATGATATGACTACATGTATTGACTATTTTAGATCAATATTCCTGACATGATATATTGACATGTATTGACAATATTCTGACATGAAAAAATATATTGACAGTTTAGATAAATATTCATTTAGATAAATATTACTTATATGACTACGTGTATTGACAATTTAGATAAATATTGATTATCTGACTACATGCATTGACTATTTAGATAAATATTGATTATACATATGACTACGTGTATTGACTATTTAGATAAATATGAATTATGTGACAGCATGAATGGACTATTTAGATAAATATTCATTATGTGACTACACGTACTGACTATTTAGAAAAATAGTTATTATAGGATTCCATGTATTGACTACTTAGATCAATATTCCTTATATGACTACACGTACTGGCTATTTAGATACATAGTCATTATATGACTGCATGTATTGGCTATTTACATAAATATTCCTTATATGAGTACATGTACTGACTATTTAGATAAATATTAATTATATGACTACGTGTATTGACTATTTAGATACATAGTCATGATGCGACTACAGCTGTTGACGATTTAGGTAAATATTCAAACATTGTGATACAATGCCATTGAGGCAATCCCATCAATGTCGTCTTCAGTCAATCCTAACACAATGTGATGTTTAGGCAACCGCAATAATGTGGTGGTTAGCCAAACCCAACAATTTCGTGTTTAGGCAACCCCACCAATGTGGTGCTTAGGCAACCTCAACAATGTGATGCTTAGGCAACCCCACCAATGTGATGTTTAGGCAACCATAACAATGTGATGTTTAGGCAACCCCACCAATGTGATGTTTAGGCAACCTCAACAATGCGATGTTTAGGCAACCTCAACAATGTGATGTTGAGGCAACCCCACCAATGTGATGTTTAGGCAACTCCACCAATGTGATGTTTAGGCAACCCCACCAATGTGATGTTTAGGCAACTCCACCAATGTGATGTTTAGGCAACTCCACCAATGTGGTGTTTAGGCAACTCCACCAATGTGGTGTTTAGGCAACCCCACCAATGTGATGTTTAGGCAACTCCACCAATGTGGTGTTTAGGCAACTCCACCAATGTGATGTTTAGGCAACCTCAACAATGTGATGTTGAGGCAACCCCACCAATGTGATGTTTAGGCTACTCCACCAAGGTGATGTTTAGGCAACTCCACCAATGTGATGTTTAGGCAACCTCAACAATGTGATGTTTAGGCAACTCCACCAATGTGATGTTTAGGCAACCCCACCAATGTGGTGTTTAGGCAACCCCACCAATGTGATGTTTAGGCAACTCCACCAATGTGAGGTTTAGGCAACCCCACCAATGTGATGTTTAGGCAACCCCACCAATGTGATGTTTAGGCAACTCCACCAATGTGATGTTTAGGCAGGCAATGTGATGTTTAGGGCAACCACCATTGTGATGTTTAGGCAACTCCACCAATGTGATGTTTAGGCAACTCCCACCAATGTGGTGTTTAGGCAACTCCACCAATGTGGTGTTTAGGCAACCCCACCAATGTGATGTTTAGGCAACTCCACCAATGTGGTGTTTAGGCATGTGATGTTTAGGCTCCACCAATGTGGTGTTTAGGCAACCCCACCAATGTGGTGTTTAGGCATGTGATGTTTAGGCAGCTCCACCAATGTGATGTTTAGGCAACTCCACCAATGTGGTGTTTAGGCAACTCCACCAATGTGATGTTTAGGCAACTCCACCAATGTGATGTTTAGTCAACTCCACCAATGTGATGTTTAGGCAACTCCACCAATGTGATGTTTAGGGCAACCCCACCAATGTGAGGCAACTCCACCAATGTTTGAGATGTTGGTGTTTAGGCAACTCCACCAATGTGATGTTTAGGGAACCTCAACAAGGTGGTGTTTGAGCAACCCCAACAATGTGGTGTTTGAGCAACCTGGACAACCTGGACATGTTGTGTTTAGGCAACCCCAACAAAATGTAATATGTTACACTTTCTCAGTAAAGTACAGATTTACATAAAGTAAGCTGTCTAACCCACCCAGCCACTAGTAGAATACTCATCTAGCAGGTTCTTGAACCGTTGCCGTACTTTTGTCACTGAAAATCCCGAGAACATCAATCGCCATTTCTGCATTGTCTATTCTCTCAAGTGGACGTGCGGCTACAGGGCCCACTCGTCAATTCCACGAACAATCATTATCCGCACAAGGCTATCATTAAGGCGTTGTTGAATACAAATGAAGTCGACGTCAAATTAAGAAAACATTTGCGGGGTATACATGAGACCCTGAGAGATTGGTATTTGTATTATCCGGGTGGTGTATTTGCCTTTTTATACTTTTGGGCGAGGTATTTGGATTGTTCTCGTTAACCAACTAAGCTTAGCGAGGCGGTGGGGTAGCCTAGTGGTTAAAGCGTCCGCTCGTCACGCTGAAGACCAGGGTTGGATATGGACAGTGTGACGGTACCAGGTGAGGTGAGATGAAATTGGGTTTTACGTCGTACTTGAGAATATTTCGCTCATATGACGACGTGCATGCGTGTGTATGTGTATGTGTATGTGCGCCTGCTTGTACTAGCCCAGACTTAAGCTGGTTTTATAGTGCTAGCCAACTGAGATACCATGCCGCAGTGAAGCATGAATACCCCACTCAGACACATTATACTGACTCCGAGCCGACCAGTCCTTGTTGTACCCATTAATGCCGAGTGCCAGGCAGGGACCAACAAGTACCATATCTTAACGTATTTTGGTATGACGCGGTCGGGGATCGAACCGCGACCTTCCGCTCTCCGGGCGGACGCTCTAACCACAACACCCCGGAGGCGGTCAGGACAACAATTGCATTGAAACTAACAACTAAAATATTTTTGAAGCAATGTACTTAGTTAATGACAGTGCAGTTTTGTGCAAATTGTGTGAGCGTTTGGTATAACAGGAAGGGCAGGACATGTTTCCCCTTTGCGGGAATCCTTGGTGCCATCGTTGGTTTTCAGTGATCCATGCATGTAATTGTAATTGTCACCACCATTCTGCCTTTCACGCCCCATGGAAACTATTGGTTGGATGAGATCAACAAGATGTGTCAGTCAGTAAGATTGGACAATCGTGACCGAATTTATAGCATCTGACTCTCATTAACAGAAAAAATGTTACAATTCGTGCCTGTATATTTATTAACTCTGGCTTATGTTTTCTTGGTTTCAGAATTGGCACCATGACTTCATACAAGAAGATATTCACACTAATGGTAGTGATGACGTCGTTTGTAGCTCTTATAACATACAAACACGGCTCTCAAGTGATGACTTTTGAAATGCTGAGCAATGTAACGAGATACGTTTTCCAGGGGCATCATTCAGTAAGCAGAACGTCGGTATATTCTTTACCTAAACCCATAACACCATATGCTCAACGTTCAAGTATTCTGTCTCACTTATTGAACGGAAACTGGGAAACAAGACCTTTGACTGAAAAGGAAGATAAAGATATATTGAATTTTCTTTCGAACGTAAATGTCCGCTACAACTTTCCTTCGAATTATCAAAGGAGTGACGGTCTCTGTGGAAACGTTACCCACACGGGATCTAAAACTGCGGAGTGGATAAGAGCCTTGTGTGATCCTAAAGGAACAACTCCTTGCTGCTTCAACAACAAGTGTGTTTTAAAGTCTGTGGAGGAATGTGTGTGTCCGGATTGTTATGACATGAGGAACCAGAAACATGCTGAATATTCCACCTGGATCCCATCAGACCCAAGCCATGGCTACAAGCAACACAGTCCCCAAGAAGCTTGCAGAATCCTCGATGGCAGCACCATTCTGTTTGTGGGGGATTCCCTTGTCCGCCATGTGTATACAGCTATGTTGTTGATTGTGACGGGGAATATGAAAGATGGAGCCATGAATGCTAACACACCAAAGAGTAAGTTCAAATGATTCACTGAGCACATAAGTACTGGCGGTTTGAATTTGAGGAACAAATGCATTTACATAGTACAGGCACTTTGGAAGGAAACATTAGACCAGATAAAAGTGTATCACTGAAACTCAGAAACTCATGAAAGGAAAAGTACTCTTTACTTACTTTTATTACAACACCCATGTAATGAACACTTTCACATATTACATTTGAAAAACGATGTGTATTTGTTGAAAATTATTTCTTTTTTTTTCAAAAAATGTTTTCGAGATTCTATGCATTCTTCTTTAATAACGTGAGCCATTTGCTCATAGACAGCTGCTCAATAGATAACCTAAACATAAGTCAAGTGTATTATTTGCCTTGAATCATGTGAAACAAACGTCAACCTTCTTCCCTGGGTATGCTGTGCTAACACTTCACTGACACACTGATTGCACAAGGCGGCCTCAAGTAGGCACAATACGATAACAAAGTATTATAGCTAAAATACATGGAATTATCATGAAACGGCCCTCCCATTACCAGAAATTTCCGTCCGCTGCAAATGATATTGGACTGCTCAACCTTAACGACGGGCCACTATCAGCTCTGTTGTCAAGTGACGTCATAGTGGGTGCGTGGACTTACGGTTCATTCGACATTGGCTTTGGACTGGCAGATATTCTGGGTCAAACAAGTCAAAGCAACCCGAATTCCCGCTTTAAATAGCGGTAATATTGGCTTTCTTGTTGGTGCTAACCTTAACAATTGCACTATTAACGTTGTTGTTTGATCAAAACCAAACACTGACATAGTTTGACATGTTGCAGGCTGTGGTCTTGTCAAAGGCCAAGGTCTAAATCGTCACTTTCTGTTGTGACGTCACTTGAATTGTTCGATGACGCAATTGCATTCGGGCAGTCAACCCCGTCAGAAGTTGGTTTTGAGTAAACTTACAGTCAAATTCCATTGTTTCATTGTTTCCTTTTTCTTTTTAACACAAATTCCATGTATTTTAGCATAATAACGGTGATGCTATTTTGGGGGGCATTATCGTTTGCAGAAGCCCTCGGTCTTTTTCAACTGCCCTCTTTCGTCGGGCAGTTAATGGAAGACCACGGATTTCTGCAAATGATAATGCCCTCAAAAATAGCATTACCCTTATAAGAAAAACGCCCATTTGTGCCAAAGCATTCCCAGAGAACCAGGATGTAACAAACGAATGCAGGTCGGTTTCTCATAGGCAAGTGCTCAACAAATAACCTAGACATTTGTCAAGTTTATTATTTGCCTTGACTCATGTTGATTTTATCTTTCAGATGTTCGAAACGAGTGTAGCGGAATGTATATGTTCACGGAAAAATTGTGTCGACACCAACTGAACTATAGTGTCCGTGCTTGCAATGGCACTGTTCATCTGGAACTGAAGTACTTCTTCGCTGCATCATTTGGAAGAAATCTGAAACAAATGGTTACAAATTTAAATAACAAATCAATAATTTTTACAGGCATAGGCATACACAATCACTTTAATCATACGGAAGTTCAAAAGAAGTTTCTACTACCAACACTGTCCTACATAGGCAAGAGCAAAAGACTTTGGCCACAATTTCTGTGGGCAGCGAGTCACGCTCCAAGTGCCCTGAAGTCCCCCAAAGTGTTGACGCAATCGTATGAGAGTGTAAAACGCTACAATAGCAAAATGGAAACTTTCCTTAAACCTTTGAAGGTTCCTATTTTCAACACTTTTAACATGACTGACGGAATGATGAGTTTTGATGGTGAACATTACGGCCTTGGAATGAATGTAGTGAAAGCGAATGTAATATTGAGTTACCTAAATGAATTAAAAAAAGAAGGATTGTGGTGAAAGGGATGTCATATTGCCTTTTTATGCATCCATAGAAACGGATAAGAAGCTCCAATATAAGTTAATGTGTAGTAATGTAAAATTATACATGTTACAGGGGTATTGCCTTTTGTATGGAAAAAAGACGAGTACTTGCAGGAACTCCTGGAATTTATTCTCTGTGTTCCACGGGGAAATGGTGACGGTATAGCATAACAAGTGAATAAAACATGATGCGTCCATGGATCCATGTTCACCGGACCAGGAACACAAGGTTGAGCCGCCTCAATTTGTGTTGTCCAGCACAGCCAATGTGACGTGTCGAAAGCAGAACATAGATACGCGTTCATTACTGTGAGATACGAATGTCAAGTTTTGGTGTACACATTGAATATATCTATTTTGATTGTGGAATCAGAACATTGAATATGTAGGTTTATGGTATGCCCTCATAACCATTTGAGTGCAAATGTTACATAGGAGAACGACACTGGTCCAAACACGATTGTTTACAAACAACATCATACAGCTGTAACACTGATGAAACAAATGCCTACTCATGATACAGTCATAAGTGTACAATCGACATTGCTTTTAGCAGGAATTTCTTCTGTAAAATTCTTCTGTATTCACACATATTATGGATTATATTAATCATTACTAGAACCAAAAATATACATTGTGTCAAATTTTGAGAAAAATCCTAATATGAATATTCTAGCCAAATTTCCTATGTTTATCATGTGATTTAAAAATACAGATGAAACACTTTAGCAAAACGTATGATCCACAAAGAGATAAATGTAATGAATAAATATAAGCACTTTAAGTCAAGCAGAGAGATGTTGTTACCCATTTACTACATTGATATACATTAGGGCAGAAACTTGTAGATCTTTTGTCACCAAGAAATTAAATAACAAAATCTTAAAAGGACAAGCCTTCTTTCTGAAAAGGCATTTTTATAGTAAGTGATATTCTAACCTGCTGTATTCATATGCTGCAAAACACACATCATCATGCAATGTGTCTAATTGTACCCTGAGTCATGGGACCTCAAACACTGAATAAACAGTCTGTACGCCCGTACGTCAGTCACACCATTTGGAATAATTTGGGCAGTTACAATTTCAAACATTATTTCAAACGTTCGAACTGACATTTTGCCATTGAATTTCCGGAGATGGAGATTTGCGCACGTTTGGTATATATGAGATACGATTCGTAACTATACACATGGGCAACTCACATGCCAAAGCATGTGTCATTGTATTTCCCTTCAAGACCATAGGCAGACATGAATGCTTAATCAAACCGCTAGGGTCCATGCAGGTAGGAAAAGTACCCATGGTCCCTATTATGGTGATCTACTTTCAGTTGTCATATATAGTTAAAATGTTTTAGATAATGTTACTAGTTTTACATTTATATCTGCGATTTTCTAGTTGTTTTACTGTCCTTCGTTGACAGATTTTGATAATTTACCTTTAAAAATTATTAATATAAACCTTGATTTAGTCACAATATGGCTGAAATATTGCCAAAATGACTTTGAATTTTAACTCACTCACTCACTAACTTACTCAAACCAAAATGAATGTATTGGAAATATCAGTACATTTAACTAATTCTATATTTCTAAACAAAGTCACAGCTCGTTAACTTGGACAAAGTACATTAGCGAGGAACATTTAATTTCTTGTGGCCACGGGAGGACCTAATGTAAACTTAGTTGCAACTTTATCACAGAGGAATATTTGAACCTATTTCGACAAAAACGTAATATTGTTTTAGATGCAAATCATTACGTGTCAACTTTTATGAACAACTCAAAGATATTCCTAGATAATATTCATATGAACAGTTTGCTTTTACTTTAACGTTAAATATGCAGGCCTCAGTTTTAATCTAATGATATACACAAAAGATTTGCAATATGAGTCATGACACCATGGGCATTAATCTTCGCAAGTGGGATGCAGGTATGCAGGTATGCACCAAACGATCCCCCGATCACATTAGCTCCCTCTTACGACAACATGGATTGCTGAGAGCAATCTGACCCAGACAGTTTTATCTTTCAGCATATTTGTGAACCTGCAAGAATGCTTAGTGAATATCTGCATAGTCAGTCTCATGATATGGACTGTAGATCATTCCAAATGCTATTACAGACAACACAATGCATGTCGCCAATATCAACTGGTCTCTGCATAAGTCGTACAGAAGGAATTGTCATATTACATATATTCACAATCAGCTGTTCAATACACACACAGAGGTTGGTATAGACACTGGCAAATGTGTTAGATGCATAAGAGATAGGTGTTGCGCGGAAAACCTTGAAATCGTACATACATATGAACAGTAGTTCGTGACCTAGAACAGGCGCTTAGGAAGCCAATATTTTCGTGTAAGCCCAATAAGTTGCAAAGCTTTATATTTAGATGGCAGTGAGGTCTTGCCCAACCTTCTTTGCAACAATCCTGTGTATGCCCGAGCCTTTTTCTTATAATGATGACCCGTGAAGGTCCGGGTTAGAATGCGCCTTCAGTAACCCATGCTTGTCATAATAGGCGACGAACGGGATCGGGTAGTCAGGCTCGCTGACACATGTCATCGGTTCCCAATTGCGCAAATCGATGCTCATGCTGTTGATCGCTGGATTGTCTGGTCCAGACTCGATTATTTACAGACCGCCGCCATATAGCTGGAATATTGCTGAGTGCGGCGTAAAACTAAACTTACTCACTCACTCACTCTCATAATGATAGCTATGCCCCTGTAGATGAATACTACCAAGCCAACTGTCTTCTATAACTATCTGCAACTAATTAAGACACTGAAGCTACACGTACATGTGGTGGATTGTTATGGTCAGAAAGATATCAGTAGAACTTTAGACATGCAAGTAGTCTGTCATATAGCCTCAGAACCTCGTTAGTTTCCTTTTCGCCGAAACCCTCTCTGCAATTCAAAGGTCCAAAATGAAGGAAGTCAAAACTCACGTTGTTCAGAATCCTCGAGCTCACTGGGGCTAATTCAATATAAATGGAGTATCTTTTTCCATCAAAATGTCCTATTTTCAGTGACTTGCCGGCGCTTGTAATTATGTATCTTATCATGCCTCGGATATGTTTATTGGTTTTATGAGACCATACCTTTAACGCTGAATTTCTCATACATTTAACAACTGTTGTTAGATCCAACATTCAGCTTGCACGCTGTGTAGCCTTTTATGGTATGTAGTGTGTGTGTATGTGTGTGTGCTCGTGCGTGTTTTCTTAAATATTCAGCATGAATTTAAAGATTAAACGAGACTTACCTGTAAGGTGAAGTTTGATCTGAATTCCACTGACCTATGAAGAACTGAGGGATAACGTGAGAGATGTGCGCATGCGCATTATCACAAGTCTTCAAATCAGAAATAGGACTATTTACAGAGTTAAACCTCAGGGTAAGTCTCGTTTAATCTTTGAATTCCACCTCCCTATTCCGTACTATCGGAATCACGTGAGAGTTTTGGAGAAATATTCCTATTTCTGATACAATCATAACCATAAACAGAAACAAAACCCATCTGGTTACAATCTTTAATTTCTTAACTAGTACAACTGTATTGAAATTGCTTCAAAATCATTTCAAATGAAACAGGATTGTTACCATGAAAACAAAACGAAAAACAATGTACACATGCATGTGTCCAGATATCACGTGAAATGTCTCTCAACCAAGGGTTTTCCAACCTTTGCTTTACTATACAACAGAATCATCTTCAAGTGTAGCTACAGGTTCACTACAATTGCTACCTAAGAACTATGACTAAGAATACATTCACTGTATTGTCCATCTATCACCCGTTTGTTGTAGAATTTGCCAAACACACAATCACTGCTCCAGCCAGCTGTGTTCAGAATTGTCTTTAATGGCACTTTCAGGGAGAAAGCCCCACTGGTGGAAGCAGACCTAATGCTGTGAGGTTTAAAGACTGACATGTCAACACCTGCCTCACACAACACTGTCCTCACCCACCGGCTAATAGTGTCCTTGGTCTATGGGGTTTCTGAGTACTGATAAATAAAGCATTTTCAGTTCCCCTGAGAGGATTTGTTATCTCTAAATACAACCTAAGATTATCCACTACACACAACTTCTTGTCTGGGTAACCCTTCAGTATTATTTCACTCTGGTGAAAACCTGGTCGAGTCTGTTTCAATTTATCACCAAATCTGATCTTCACATGATCATCATTAATGTCAATATTCCTGCAGTCCATAAGATGCATTGACTGAATTCTTTGTCCAGACAGAAATTGCTGACTTGGCTGAATTTATGGCGGAGTAGCTCATTCCGTCTTTGTACAGTTTAGCTAGAAAGTCAAGTGCTTGCTTCAAAGATGGTGAAAAGGGATCAGAGTTCCTTGTACTGCAAAACAGCACCCACAATTTGAAATACGTCCCATATTGTTTGTGGGTTGAATCTCTCCATGATTGCAAGATAATGTTTGTAGCCTCTGCAGATAGGCCTTCACTTTCCACTGCTTTCCGGGTAATCTTGCGGCTACAAGTTTGATGTAGAGGATGGATATAATCTGGACGATTCCGAAGTGACAAGAGATTCTGTGACTTTGGAAGCAGCCTCGGACAGTCTGTTAACAAATGCAGTAGCTTTGTAAACCAAGGCTGTGTCGTCCACAGGGGCACCACGAATATATTCATACAGTTTTCCCCAATACACAGTAAAAGCATCAACTGCTTCAGCCTCAGGATCTGGCTGCCAAGAAACATAGCGCTCAAGCTGATGATTTAATCTTGAAGCAAACAAATCTCTACATGGGGTGTTAAATATACACACAATTCTTTGAAACACAACACAGCTTAATTGCCACTCCTTGTCATCTGACGCATTACGGGAGTGCCAGTCTGCCTCTACATTACACACACCTGGTAGATGAGCTGATGAAAGCCATATTCCCTATGAGATACACCATTCCCACATCTGTCTCTTTAAATTGTTGCACATTAC